GCCTGAGTACTCATCTCGATCGATCAATCAATCAAAGCTTCTCTCTTTAGATCCTGAATCTGAGAAGGATGAGACTTTAGAGGTGGTGGCCGATAAATACGAAAGCCCTTCAGAAATCAAAAAAATTCACCAATCAATTCAAACACCAGCGAACAAATCTGAATAAACTCCGATTCATATAACGATGCAATAAAGACGATCTGCTCTGAGAATTCAAAACAGAGAAGGCGAGACAATTAGCGATGCACATACACACGAACTGATGGGAAAAGGATTGGGATTAATGGGAGATGATGATGATGAGCACTATAAATTGAATAAAAAGGGATAAAACTTGAAAGCCCTAGAATTTGATTGAGATTAGGGTTTACCTTGTTCGAGTTCCACCACTTTGTTTCTGGGTTGTCCCAAAACCCAAACGGCTATTAACAATTGTCTCTAGCCATTTTATCGACTTTTCATTGGCGTTCTTCTTCCGCGTTTGTGTGGTGGTTCGCCACCACCCACTTCTTCTTATTTAATTTTTTTTGTTTTCAATTTGAATGAATCTAATTTCTATAAACAAGAAAAAACAAATCCGGAAATTAAATTTTGGATGTCGCTATATAGTAACTTCCCTTCATTTTTTAAAAAACATATCTAAAAGGGTTGGCTACGTAAAATACAAATTTTATCATCGAATGTCTAAAGAAAAATTTGTGTGGGTTAGATGGAAAATGGTCAAATAACATAAATATATTGCCAAAATTATATAGGTTGCTTGCTTCTGGCCCCACGGCGCTTGACAGTATTTCCACATTTAGCAATTCAGGGTTTTGACTCAACACAATGTTTAGTTTATGGGTTGGCTCGTATAAAAGTAAGAGTCTAAGGGCTATTTTGCAAGTTCTCTGTAATTAAACAAGTGAAGCTCATCAGAGTCCACGAGCTTCCCACTTAAAAAAAATTGAAATGGTTTCTTTTGCCATCTGAATTAACAAAGCGAGAGGCGATACAATCGATTCGAGTGATTCATCGTCTTCTACTTGGAATGCTAATGCTAGATATGGATCTCCGTCTTCTTCTACAATCTCTTATTCCCTCATTGCAATCTGTGAGCTCTCTCTCTGTAGCTTTGATTCAGTGTCGCAACTGTTCTTGCGGTTTTTAGTTCTCTTCTGATCAATTCGTATTTCTGGGTTTCTCAATTGAATTTAGGTTTATGTGCTGGTGTTTTACTTCGTTTACTTGGCCGTTGCTGGACAAATTCTCCCTGGGAAAGTTATTCGCGGCGTCCTTTTATCGGATGGCTCTCAGCTTCGTTACCGATGCAATGGTGATTTGATCTGATTTTGTCTTTATACATATGAATTCATGCGGTATTATGTGAGCTCGTAAGTTTAATTTTTTTAATTTCCCCCAAAACCTTTCAGGTCTATTTGCACTAACATTGTTGGTGGCTATTTTGGGAATCTCTGCAAAATTCGGCATTGTATCACCTCTTGTAAGCGTAGTTACCATTTCAGTGATCATTAAGACCACAATGTTAAGATATGCAATTGTGTTTCTATAAAATCGGAATTAATATATTTTTTGAGAAACGAGAGTTAAGATTGCTATTGGTTTATCATACTCATATAGCATAGAGATGTCTACAGGTGGTTGCTGATAGAGGACTTGAGCTACTCTCAGCTACTTTTATCTTTTGTGTTTTGGTAAGATGATTGATCCTAATTGTGGTTCGTTTTGTTTTTAGTCTTATCACCATTATACAAAATCTGTGTCTCTTAGTTTATGAATCTGCTTCTGGTGGTCTGGTGTTTAATGTCCATGATTTCTCGTAATTTCTTCAGGTGACATTAGCATTATATGTTACTGGGCGCAGTTCCTCGGATAAGAGTTCTTCCCTAAAGCCTCATGTCTCAGGAAATCTTGTACATGACTGGTACTGGCATATTACATGTGTACAGCTTCTCATTTCTTATCTCACAAACTGCTGTGTTAGAGTTATATACATGTTTACTCCTGCCAGACTGAAATTAAGAAAGATTCCATAATCTGGTACGAAATAGAATACGAAACAAAGATGTGGACAATATGATTCTATGGAACCTTGTAGAGTCTTGAGTAATTTCTCCCAGAATGGTTGTAGCTTCCGCATTACAGAAGTGTGCCAGGGACCTGAGCTATTGGAATTTTCTATTGAAACTATATTTTCTTGTTTTGTGTCTTTCACTTGCTTCTTCCAAACAACTGGTTTGATATTTTCTCTTCTTGTTTGCTTTCATGTGATAGGTGGTTTGGAATACAGCTAAATCCTCAGTTTTTGAGCATCGATCTCAAGTAATCCGTTTTTCTCTTTTTTCTTCTATTTTAAGCCTGGCCAGCATCACTGCTTCGGTTTGCTTAGTACACATATCGAGTAGAGATTTAATAATACAATCTATAGTTATGCATGTTTGGGAATATTTCCTTTTGTAGGTTTTTCTTTGTCAGAGCCGGGATGATGGGATGGCTGCTTATCAATCTGTCTATTCTGGCTAAAAGTGTGCAGGATGGTTCCTTGAGTCAGTCGATGATTCTTTACCAGATTTTCTGCGCGGTACATTTGGGTTTACTTACAACTCCCGCTTCTTCAAGTTCTCTGATCATCCATGAAGTTAGTTCTGATTAACTTTGTAACTGCAGTTATATATATTGGATTACTTTGTTCACGAAGAATACATGACCTCTACGTAAGTTCATGGCGTCTTGAGCAGACGCATTTCTTTCACCAAAATAAGGCCATTTCCATTATCTCATTTACTTGGGTCTTTTTAAGTAATGTTTGTCGGTTTTGATTTTCTTTTTTTTCCAGGTGGGACATAATTGCAGAGAGGTTGGGCTTCATGCTGGTGTTTGGAGATCTCCTGTGGATACCTTTCACTTTCAGCATTCAGGCATGTAACTGTGTGCTTCATAACAAACATTGCATACACAACACTTTATCTTATTGACAGTGTCTTCTTGGCATGTAAACAGTTGTTCTCGGAAAAAAAAAATTCTTCGTCTTGAATGCTTGATCACTCTGTGAATGGATTGTCTTCTCTTGTGTACAGGGCTGGTGGCTTTTGCACAACAAAGTAGAACTAACAGTTCCTGCTATTGTAGCCAATTGCTTTGTGTTCTTGATAGGGTAAAAGTTCTTAATCATTGGGTTATTATAAATTCTTAGAAACTAAACTAAGAAACCCACAAGTTGTTAATTTTTCTACAGGTACATGGTTTTTCGAGGGGCTAACAAACAAAAACATATCTTTAAGAAGAACCCTAAAACACCTATATGGGGTAAGCCTCCTGTGGTCGTTGGTGGAAAGTTGCTGGCTTCTGGCTATTGGTACGATCTATTTTTGTTTCCTCTCTAGTTTCTCTGTCTTTGATTGTCCATCATGTTGGTAGTGGTGAAGAGCCCTACATTTCGATAAACGTAGATGCTGTTTTTAAACATTACAGGGGAATAGCAAGGCACTGTAATTACCTTGGCGACTTGATGCTTGCTCTGTCCTTTAGTTTGCCCTGTGGAATAAGGTAACTTGTTGTGCTTGACTTCATCTTACAACTATCAAAGTCATGTAGAATTCAATACCAATATCAAAACTTTTTTTGAAAAGTTTAGAGCCCTAAATACCGATTTGGCCAAGACTTATCTTTAAAACCAACATTTGAACTTTCCAAAGCTTTCAAGTTCATTGTCTGATCAATTAGACAAAACTAATATGGTCTGTTTCTGTTGATGTTGTCTTGTGTGTTCTCAGTTCCCCAGTTCCATATTTCTACCCGATTTACCTCCTTATATTGTTGATATGGAGAGAACGAAGAGACGAGGTTCGATGTGCAGAGAAGTATAAGGATATCTGGGCAGAGTATCTTAGACTTGTCCCCTATAGAATCCTTCCTTACGTTTATTAACTGTGCCAAGTCTTTTAGATTCATCCTCTTTGTGTCTTTCTTTCATCTGCTTGTCTCAGTGTGACATTGAAAGATTCATTATGCTTTCACATCACAGATGCCGTTTTTCATTGTTCTTTGTTTAAATAATTTATAGTTTTTTTTGCCAAAAACACATCACTTAATCCGAATTTGTCACTTTATACTTCATCTCAAAAAAATATTAGCTCATCTATTACCCGCCAGTCAAACCATTGTTTGGACGTATACAGTATAGTATACATAGATTATAAAAACCGTATTACCGAAACTAAATAAAATAATCAACATTTCACTTTTAAAAATTTGTTGATCATATATTTATGGTCATAATGTCTATAATAATCCAATTTATATATTTATGACCAGGAATCATGACCAAAAATGGAATACAATCTGAAGGGAAAAGACATAATAGGATGAAAACTTTGTCCACTTCAATGTACAATAAATTGAAAAAGATAACAATAAAATACAAATATAGATAGAAAAAGCGATATTGGTTGAAATTATAAAAAATAAAAGTATCATTAAAATAGAACTCTGCTCACATCACGGGTATACAGCAAATGACTTTGATAATGTGATTGATTCATGTAAGTGAAGAGCCGCGACTATTTCTGTTGATGTGTCTCCATCTAAATCTCAAATCTAATTTTATATGTTCGGAGATATCAAAGTCGCATTTGTCCATGAAATCTAGAAAAACGTCGACATTTTTTTACTAAGAATATTCTGTGGAATTTCGTAGTCAAACTGGCTAAGTGCTTCTTATTATGATATTAATATGATTTTCCGAAAAAGTTATACAGTTATAATTATTGGAATTTTAAACTCAATTATATAATTCGTTTTGACGGTTTGAGCCGGAGAAGGTTTTGGGCCGTGATGCGGTCGAAGTCATGCATTTTGCTGAAAATAACTTTCGAGTTTCCAAATTAGCTAAAAGCTAATAAGGGGCAAAAACGAAAATTGCCAAAACTACCAACTAAACCACGTGAGATCCAACGGCTGAAAAGCTGTTTCTTGGAGAACATGCCACAGATCTAACCCTTAATTAATAAACCTTCGTCACCAAACCATTTAGTCTCTCTCTCATCTGCAGCTATAAAAACCAACCCCTTTCTCTCTACTGGTCCACCTACTTCGTCTGCCTTATTCCGCATCTCTCTTAAAACTTTTCTCTCTCTCGAGCAATCCGTCAAAACCATGTCTGCCTTCACCAGCAAATTCGCCGGTAAGATCTCTCTCCTCTCTCAGTCTCAATCTATGTATTCCGTTTATCTCGTCATCGGAATTACTTGTACTCGTTTCGTTATAATCCTTGTTTTGCTAGATCTGTTGTTTGCTTCATCATGCTCGCGTTTTTTTTAGCTTACTAACACTCTAGATCTGGGTTGAATACGCTTTACTGTTGCTTGTTTCTGAGAATCGATGAATTCTATACTTGTTAGCGTAGATCTGATTCAGTGTTGATCATCAGTGATCGATCTGTTTTACAGTAGACGAACGGATCTAATCAATTGTATTCACGATCTCAAGTTTTTCAGTTGTTGTTACGATTAGTAATTGTTTATGCGCTTTGTTTACCTTTGCAGATGAGTTGATCGCTAACGCTGCCTACATCGGCACACCCGGAAAAGGTATTCTCGCCGCCGATGAATCCACCGGTACCATCGGAAAGCGTCTTGCGAGCATCAACGTCGAGAACGTTGAGACCAACAGACGTAACCTCCGTGAGCTTCTCTTCACCGCCCCTGGTGCTCTCCCATGCCTTAGCGGTGTCATCCTCTTTGAAGAGACTCTTTACCAAAAGAGTTCCGATGGTATGAAATCAAACTCTCTATGTGGATTTATTCACTGTTTATATAATATTATGTAGAGATTTTCTGATTGGGTTTTTGTTTTACGCAGGCAAGCTTTTCGTTGATATCTTGAAGGAAGGAGGAGTTCTTCCCGGTATCAAAGTCGACAAGGGTACCGTTGAGCTAGCCGGAACCAACGGTGAGACAACCACTCAGGGTCTCGACGGTCTCGGTGAGCGATGCAAGAAGTACTACGAGGCTGGTGCCCGTTTCGCCAAGTGGCGTGCGGTCCTCAAGATCGGCGAGAACGAGCCATCAGAGCACTCGATCCACGAGAATGCCTACGGATTAGCCAGATACGCCGTCATCTGCCAAGAGAACGGTCTCGTACCCATCGTCGAGCCCGAGATCCTTGTCGACGGATCCCATGACATCCACAAGTGTGCCGCCGTCACCGAGCGTGTCCTCGCAGCTTGCTACAAGGCTCTTAGCGACCACCACGTCTTGCTCGAGGGAACTCTCTTGAAGCCCAACATGGTCACTCCTGGATCAGACGCCGCCAAGGTTGCACCAGAGGTCATCGCTGAGCACACCGTCCGTGCCCTTCAGAGAACCGTCCCAGCGGCCGTTCCAGCCATCGTGTTCTTGTCCGGTGGACAGAGCGAGGAGGAAGCAACCAAGAACTTGAACGCGATGAACCAGTTGAAGACGAAGAAGCCATGGTCATTGTCTTTCTCGTTCGGGCGTGCGTTGCAACAGAGCACATTGAAGACGTGGGCAGGCAAAGAGGAGAACGTGAAGGCCGCTCAAGAGGCGTTGTACGTGAGGTGCAAGGCTAACTCTGAAGCCACTCTTGGAACCTACAAGGGTGATGCTAAGCTCGGTGATGGAGCCGCAGAGAGCCTTCACGTGAAGGACTACAAGTACTGAGAGTCGTCGTCGTCGATGGGTTTCTGTTGTGACGTCATCATCACCCTCGATATATTTCTAGGGGTTTTTACTTTTTTTCTATTGACATTATCGGATCAACGATACGTTTCGATTTTTGTTTTGAGTTTCGTTTCGATTTGTGTTTTTGATTTTCGGATTGGGTGTTTTCTTTTTTAGAATTGAGTGTTTAAGAAACGCCCAAATAAAAAGCCATTTGAGGTTATTTCTGTTGAACTCTTTTGGGGATTTGAAAACAGTTTTATGTTGATTTTCCGCTAATTGAGCTTAGTTTACGATTGCATTTCTTTCGGATTTTGTATAATCCATTGTTAAATTTATATATTCTCCAACTCGTCAGCCTTGTCTAGCAAAATCGTTTTTGAATCGGTTTTCAAAAATATGACCATTTAGCAAGAATCAGAAACCTGGGAAGAGATCTCACTTCTCAATTAATATGCAGACACAAGCACAAGAAATCACAGTTTATGGATCAGTGAATATCCTTCGGTAAAACTGTGTTTGAGTGTTTTCTCTACCTAAAGAGTAAACAAATAAGTTTCACTGTCCTCAAAGGCATCAAAAGCTCACTTGTGCCAGTTCCTGTAAATGAGAAGAACAACAACTCATGTAGAGTTTAAATATCATCTTTCTTTTTTTGCGTCAAGTTGTATCCGATTCAACTAATTACTCTTATAATAGAATGGGCCACACACTGGGCCTTGTTGTTTGAATGGTGGGTTTAAGTGGTCCTCCACTAAATATCATAAAAGCATTTGCTTTCCAGATCATATTAGACTAAATAGTTAGATAGTTGTAGATTAGATTAGCACATTGTTTTGTCTATAGGATCGAATATTTATATCTTACCTGTTCGATGGAATAATCTAATCTACTATTCATTTAAAGAAATAGGGAACTGAGATAAAATTACATGTTCAGTTGGTCAGCTATAGACGAAATGGGTTTAGATTAGCCATGTGTGTTCTGCTTAAGATCAATTAGTGATACTAATTTAATAATCAGTTTAAAGTTTGAAAGCAATAATTGAGAAATGTTCAAATCCGAATTTTATTGCGTCTATTGTGAGTCAAGCCATCATATACTTTGACAGGAAGTCATTTTAATTTCAAAAGCACACGCTCGTCGGCGAGAGGCTACTTTTCCAAAAAAGTGGAGGAAAAAGCTAAACATAGTTGGGGGGAATAGAAATTAAAATAAAGCTAAAAATCAAAATAAATAAAATAATATTGTAGAAAACAAGATAAAATAATTCAAACTTACAAACCCTTTAGCAGTAGCCTAAGCATTATCCCCATTTCCTTTCCCTAATTTGGTTAATTCAAAAACAGAAACACCCATAATAATTTTACAAATCAACCCACAATCCATAAAAAAAAATCTAAAAACACCCACAAAGCTAAAAACCACACGAATTTCAAAACGAAAAATAAATAAATAAATACATTAAATAGAACCATAACCCTAAGCCCAATTAGTTCTTTGACTGGTTGGTCTTTTGTTTGTGAGAGATAGAATCACTAGGTTTCTATGCTCTTGCTTAGCTCATCAAGCTTCTTCAACCTCAGCTTCTCGCTTTCTCCAACCAACTGTCCCATCTCCCCAGGGAGAAATTAGAAGAGAACTCGGTTAATGTATATTCAAAGCGCAAGAAAAAACTCAAATCTTTTTGTGTTCTTGATTTTAGCTAACTTCAGAACCGAGAATTCGAAACTAACCTCCATTAGCTTGGTGATCAGCTGAACTTTCTCGCGGTTCTTCTCATTGAATGTATCCAATGCTTCTTTGTATTCCCTTTCCTGTTTCATGTCATCACACAAACAAAACCATTAGTTTCGAATTTTGTTCAGCCTCCGCAGGGATTGAATCGAAATGGTAATTGCATAACAAGTAAAAAAGTTTTGAGCTTTCTAAACCAAAATCTTGCAAAATCAAATCTTTTGTCAACAGACTCAACACCATAACAACCCAAAACCTATTCAGTTGACATTTAGGAGTTGAATTTGGAGTTTGGGTTTGGTAAAGGCCAAAGCATATTTATATAGCAAGCATTAATGAGATATATTTTACCGGTAATCAAATGAAACAACTGCTCCTGAAAATATTTACCTTCTTTTGAACTGTGGCTCCTAATGGTTTGAGTTCCTTGTTAACGCTATCAATCTTCTTACGCACCCAAGAAACTTCCTTCCTCATGGGATCAGCCATAGACTCAAGCTCCTGAAACAAAAAACATAATTATCTCCACAAAGTTAAATCCTTTCATGAGAACTTAACTTGCGAACCTAAAAAAACAAGAAGCAAACTGTTCATGTCCAAATCCAAGAGATTTCCTATTTTAATCGAAGCTTTAACTTGACTCTGTGATGTAATCTCCATAAACTTATAAAAAGCCTTTTACTCATCAACAAAGTTTGTGACTTGTTCAACAAATTGAGTAACATGCAGAATCATTTACTTACAAGATAATCAAATGACCCAATTTCGAAACCAAAGCTAAACCATTTCTGTTATAACTCATTCATAGATCATGAAATTTTCAAGTTGAAGACAAAAAAAAAAGGTTCCCACTTTGTCCTTCTATCCCCTGAGTCCAAAAAATCAACAAAGTTCACATTTTAAAACCCTAAATCTTCTAAAATCACAGAACAGCAACAAAATTTGGAATCATTAAAACACAAACAAATATAAGGAAACGTGCATGAGTGTAATTTTAAAACACTGAGCTTTAAAATCTCAAACAAATTCCTCAGAAAATCTCTGAGATCTTTGAATTGAAACTTTTAAGAGCAAAAATCGAACAAACCTCGCGGATGTTGGCGAGACGACGGGTCTCTTCCTCGACCCGACCCAGCTGAGCCTTGACCCGTTCGCGAACCTCCGTTTTCCTCTTCTCGATCTCATCCTCTTTAGCCCTAAACGCAGAGAGAGCAGAACGAGCCATCTCCTCGTCTTCTCTCGACATCTGGCTGCTAAAGCTCAAGCTCACCATCTGCTGGGCCTGGCTCTGCGGCTGCGCTTCCGTCGTCTGCATCTTCGGTTTCTCCTCCTCCTTGTGGTTACTACTGTTACTGTTCTTCTTCTTCCTCAAGCCGCAGCAGGAACGCGACCGATGCAATTCCTCTGTGGAATTCCGGTGGGGTTCTTCGATTATCCCTATTTTTACTGATTTGGGGTTGAATCGAAGCAAAAGCTTTAATGGCGGATGTGTGCTGGTGTGGTGGATTGAGTGGGTTTGTGTGTGGTAAAGGTCTCTTCTCTGTCCTCTTCTTCTCACTCTCTTATATTTTGTTTGCTTTCTCTATTTTTTCTTTATTTTTTTGTTTTATTTAGTTTGTGTGTTTACGTATCCGTTAAGTTCGTACTTCTCAAACAATAACTTTAATTACGTGTCGTTTGATGATTATTGCTTCTCTTTCTTTTTATTTTTCTTCAAATTAAACGTTTTTTTATAGTAATAAAGTAGCCGTAATACTCGATTAGATTATCGTATTGACCCAATCCTAAATATTTGGATGTTTGGATTCAGCTACACATATTTGCGTTTATTGTTACAGATACTGATATGGATTTTTTATGAATTATAATTGTAAAAAAAAAAGTTATATACGATTTGTTTTTTATTTTATGACTATTGTGTTTTACGTATCCCGTTAAGTTCGTAAGTCTCGAACAATACTTTAATACGTCGTCTAATGATTATTTCTCTTATTTTGAAATCTATTTTCTTTGAAATTAAAACGCTTTTGATAAATGAAAGTCGTTAGCCAAAAAAAAAAAATGATTATGATTCGTGTCATCGATTAACATGTACGAGAGAGGAACTTAGTATATGTCAAAATATATTTTTGTGATTGCATAATTACATTTGTCAAAATCAAAATTGTAGTAGTATATATTTAATCAAAATTCTAGGAGAAGGGAACATCTTCCCATTATATATTCTTTATATGCAATCCAACAATTAAGAATATAGTTATAACAATTGATGATAATCACAAAATAACCATTTTCAAAAAAAAAGCTAATCACAAAATATTTGTTATTAAATCTTTTTCTAGCTAAATAATCGGAAGAGAAACAAAAGTATATTCTACTAATATAGTTCTCGTCGATATCCCCTCATCAGATAAAGATTCTAACTATTGATTTTGTCGTCTGGTCTTTTGACATTAATATGCTAACGGTCAGTTTCAGGAATCATTTATTGTTTTTCTTCAACTGTGTATCATTTCTTTGGTTAGTAAATGCAAAATTTGTTTTTATCTATACTTTATTGGAATTACGCTTGCCACTTGGCGTTCTCGAATTTTGAATGAAACCATCTTTCACAACGAAGATGACGGCTGTAAAGAAAAAGCCGACATGTGAAGATATTATCAATTGTATAAACTTCATAACAAATACTACAAAATGGGGAACTTATATAGTTATATAATGAAGAAAAATAAAGTTGTTAACACAAAGGCATGAAGAGTAGAGGCAGCTCACCAAACCATTCGGGCATTAGTATTATCAACTTGTTCCAACTCTTTACCTTCCCCTTCTACTAAATTTATTTAATTATTTCGTTTTCTTTGTTTTGCAGTTTGATTTGTAGCAAATTTTTGAGCTTTTGCAATCTCTCATAATGAGAATGTTTTTTTTTTTTAATTATCTTCGAATGTAGGTTTTTTTAAGAGCTTTGATTATTGATCATGAGTATTGATTATGAGATTTTTACTATGTAGATGTTGGACTTCAAGTCCTGATTTCTATTGAGATTAGTGTAAATATATTTTTGTTTTGTCAACTGTTATTTTGTAATGTTAGTTAAAGAGATAATTTTACTGAAAAAGGACTTGCTTGCAAGTAACAACAATGAGTAGTTTTCACTTTATAACATAAAATATGTCTTCATGGATTTATTGCGAGTACTAGTCTTTAAAAACACTTTACAGATTGGGTTTTTTTTCATCTTGAGTGTGGTGATTTAGTCACAATACTGTATTAAACAATTTGACGAAATGATATGTAAATGAAAGCATAAATGATTTCATAAAATATAAAAGGCATGATGATTGATTTGTAACTTTGTAAGTGATACAGAGAAGAAACCGGTGGCGGGAGGGGACCAGACATAAACTCTTCTCAACATTCATACAAATGGACAGACTCCAGACTGAGAGATCACATGGTCACTCATATCCATCTAATAGTCAGCCTAAAAGCAGATCTCAAACAAATTGTTTTGCCGTATTAATTGTGTACTAATTTCTTCATAAATCTTCTAATATACAGCATGTTCACACACAAAAAAAAATTAGTATATACAAATAAAGATTAGTATATCAGATCATTCAAACATATCTGTCTCTGGTTAAGAAACAAACAAACCAAAATAGATTTTAAAAAAGCCCATAAAAACCATTCCAAACCACATGATCTATTGAATAAAAGCCCATTAAGCAATGAGGCTTCCTTATAATTTTATGATGGGTCTCATATTTTGTCCATTATTTGACACCATTTTATAAATTTAAAATCTATCATCCTTCCAAGTCTAAAGAATCTATAGTCTTTTATAGACATCATAATACAAAAGATGAATTTGAACAGAACATCTTAACAAGTACGACTAATGTAGGATAGAACTAGCATGCAGAATGGCTAAATAAAGACTTGAGATTATATATAATCAAATTCAATTAAGCCATATATAACTTTGAAAATAGTAATTCTAACCTTTATAAACCGCTTACTACGACATGATTAAAAAAATTACGTAAAAACAGCAACAGTGGTCGTGTGCCAAATCAAGATTAAGAGAGTAACAAAAGGCATGTGATGTGTGGTAACACGTGAGGCCTCGCGTGCTGGCGTGACTTGCCTTTTACTTCACAAAATACAACAACAAAAAAAATGGAGAGATTAGGCCCTACGTTGACTCACCTTGACCCTTCTGCTGTACATACGTTTTTTTATTTCTGACAAAAAAGTATATTAAATTATTTCTTTTTTGGAACAATGTCCCAGAAAACGTGTTTGTCTTCTCATGGACATGTGACCTCAAAACTCTTACAAAGTTACTACTACCTCATCTTTTTCTTGTCCTTCTTCTTATTAATCTCAAATTTTCAACCATTCGTACCTCTTTTTATGATCTACATATCAAGTCTAAATCCAGTGCCGATATCTAGACTCGGTTTTTTTTTTTCTGGTCAAGCACAAAATATAAAAAGAAAATGTTATGGAGCAAGCAAATCAGAAAATAGTTAGAAAATTTAACCAATTAACCACGGCCCGGCCCATCGTACACGAACGTAAATAGAGTGCAACTTTTGGGGGTAAAAAGGTAATAAATATAATTGGGTTTATTTTGGGTCACCGTCACACATTAGATAGTAGGACCCACTGTCTGCGCCCTCGTCGGACTCAGCTGATTTCGTTGTCCGACTCCTTCTATTCCAACTCGGCTCGGCTCGGCTCAACTCAGCGCAGCTCGCGTGGGCCGGTCTTTTGACGCCATATGGTCTTGATTTTAGCACGTGACCCCCCAAGTCCCAACGGCCCAACCTTCGTCCACTGATTTTTTTTTTTTTTTCTTTTATCTTTTGGAATTTGCCTTTACTCCATTTTCTTCATTTCTTTCTTTCTCATCAAAGAAGACAACAGATCGCTCCTAGTTTAAAAGACAAACTTGGTCATATCCAAATTTCGGTTTTATTTAAAGAACTGGAACACAAACAACAAACTAGAACGCTTTTTGTTAACCAAAAAAAAAAAAAAAAAAACACGTTAAGAATGTAGTCTTGTAATTTATGGGCTTTGCCTACAAGAAACAAAAAACTGTTATACGAATAAGAGTTCATCCACACTCTACCTTTACCTTCTAATGAATATTCTCAATGAGTTGGCTAATTAAACACATGCAATTGGCTTGCTTCCCCAAATCCGACGACTAAAGGTCTAAGTTGGATTTGGATAATCAAAATCTATTTGATTGTTATTTTCTCTTTATAACATTTATATAGTAGCTAGTTTCGATTTTCATTGGCTTCGTGAGAGTAGCAGTGCCAAGAGGTGTTAGTGCACAACTGCACACGACCCTTTACCATATTCTAAGATCCATATGTTCTCTTGTAAGAGATAATATTATACACAGAAATGTAAAGTTTATAAATGAAAGATTGAACGTGATCCATAATGTGACTGGCTATTTTGTGAGCTGGTCCCGCTCTTGCGGCACGTCGGGCTGCACGCCGAGCTCGCTTCTTCGAAGCTTAGCTCCTTTTGCGAGGAGTCTCATCTACCTGCAAAAGATGTTTATGAAACATGAAAACAAAAACACGGCATATAATCAATCAAGATTTATATGCTAGAAGACTTGTAATTTCAGATAATGTTTTAGCATCAACCAAAGTCTAACTTTCATGCTTCCTATTTCTGCTGAATAATCTGTACATGTATTTAAATTTAAGAAGAACACTTGCCTCTGGCTCATCGTACTCAGGGTCTGGCAAAGGGTATAGAGAGATCGATCTACCAAAGCAAACTCACTTAAGCACGGCTCAGTAATCTCTACTTAATTAATCCCCCTGATCAATATAAACACAGGGATTAATTAATTAACCAACTAACCATGTTTAACGAAGATCCCAGTCGAAGAGATCCCTCGTAGGACCTCTTCAGGGATGTCTTCAAGGTAGCCGATGACAGTGATGTCGACAGAACCAGAGTACCCTAAAATCCTTCAACGCCGATTCTATACTCGGACGGATCCGACGAGCATCATAACCCTCTGGAATTGGACACGTGTTGATGTTCCACCACACCGCCGTGTTAGCTTTCGCGTACTCCGGCTTCGCCGCCTCGCGACGGTAATGCATCATCCTCCTTCCTTTAACTTGGTCTCTCTCTCTCTCCCTCTAAGGTTTCTTTCAGCTTGAATTATATACCAACACCACGAAACGAAAGTTATGGCCCTTTATATAGTTGTGGGCTAAACGAAATCTGGATTAGCCGAACCGGTTCAATTCGAACCAAACCAAAAGAACCGGTCTGAAACACCGAACTACTATATCTTAATACTGGATACACATATTTCAGCTCCATCTATTCCAAGCTCGGCTCAGCTCGCGTGGTTTGAGAGAAATCGAGTAGGTAAATGAGTTTGGGCCGGGCCCTCTTTTGATCCCATATGGTCTTGCTTTAAGCACGTGACCCCAACCTTCGTCCACTGAATATTTTTTTCCTCAGAAGATCTTGATTTTTTTATCTTTTGGAATTTGCTTTTATTCTATTTTCTTAATTTCTTTCTCTCTTCCTCCTCAAAGAAAGACAACAAATCGCTCCTAGTTTAAGACAAGCTTGGTCATATCCAATTTTCTGTTTTTATTTAGAGAGAACTGGAACATAAACAACAAACAAGAATGCTTTTTTGAACCAAACAAAAAAAAAACACGTCAAAAAGTCTTGTAATTTATGGGTTTAAGAAACAATAAAATGTTATACGAACAAGAGAGTTCATTTCCGAACACTCTATAAAACTATAACATTAGTGTGTTTTTGGTAGTTTCGATTTTCATTTGTTCTTGCAAGAGAGTACTCTTAGCACTCTAAGATCCATATTTTCTTTGGTAAGATATATTTTACACAGGAAAATAAAGTTTATAAACGAAAGATTGAACGTGATTGGCTATTTGTGAGCTGGTCCCGCTTATAAATTAGTAGTAATTGAGTTTGTATTTTTTTTTTTTCTAGCAAAAACGCAAAGATTAGGTTAATTCGGCATAGTGCATATAAATGCCGCCGAAACTGGTGGGAATGAATGAATAGAGAGAGTTAGTGAAGCTCTCTCATCATCAAATTCAAAGGCCTTTGGCTGGCTCACTCCTACATGAAATATCGTTATCGTCCTTTTGCTCTTATTTATTACTTTATTTCCTCAAAACTACAAATTAATACTATCGTGGCACCACCATAAAAAGATAAACTTTGATATTCATTTATGTCTTTTGTATTCTTCAGCCAGATGATGATATAAATGAATGTTTTTCACTTCATTTTAATTAATGTTTCCAAGTCTACTTGACCTTTTCTGGTAATATATAATTCCATGGTATCCATATTTTGATTTAGTACTTAGCTCTAGCCAGTTTTTCTTTTCGTTCTATGATTATCAAGAAAATTGGATCTAAATCTATAATCTTTCGCTGCAGCCTCACAAAGTTTTTAAAACGTAATACGTAAATCATTTTTTCTTAATCAGGTATTCGAACTTGGAAGACAAACTTTAACTTCTTTTGGAAGTACATATATTTGGTGCATGCTATTAAAAACCAAAATTATAACTTCAAAACGCTCAAGCGTTACAAATTATATCTTAATAAGTAATAATGTGATAACGACGGTTACAAATTAGAACAAAGTAAATAAACAAGATGATTTATGAGCCATAAACAAGAATAGTTAAGATATCCAAATAGCACGTATGTAATTAAATTCACATATTATAATATGTTTTGATAAGAAAAAGAAAACATAACTAAATGGGTAGAAATGCTTAATTATAGATTAAGTAGTTTATTGTAACAGAAAAAAATCAGCACACATCTAATTTTATAGATCAAGAAGAGATCAGAGAGTGTACTGGAACTCTCACCAAATTGCAACCTACAACTTGATATACTGTACATCAGTTGACTGTGAAGTTAGTCAAATCCAAAGTGATTATGCTCAGAATTTAATACAGTTGTGACACAATCTCTGAAACAAATGACATCTGTGTATCACAAAAATTGAAGGTTACTTTTTAACATCACATTGAATGAATCCTTAATTACAATATCTTAATAGGCTTTCGCTTTTCTCTTTAAGCTACTTATGGAATATTAAAATGAGATATAAAAGGAAGTGATATTTCCAAGGCAGTGAGACATAAACACTGCAGGTTACTATCTCTCCATCTGCATCTTGCAGTGCTTTCTTTCTGGGTTTTTCTGACTCACATAATTTTATATTTGATAATTAAACCATTTTTAAACCTATCAGATATTATTATATATAAAAAACCACTCTCTTTACTCTAAATTTTGTTTTTCCCCTCAACTGTCTTGTCTCGTAGTCTTTTTTTCCCTATTAAACACTTTTCTCTCTCTCTGTTTAGCTCTTTCTAGCTCTTTCTCCAGCAAACAGTTTCAAAGAACAAAGAGAAAGAAAATAACTTTTTTCTTTCTTTCTTCTTGGGTATATTTACACCACAAGCCAAACAAAAAAGACTTTTGGTTGTGGTTGTCTTTGCTTATTAAGCCAGACTCTCTGATAACAAAAGAAGTGGGGGAAAAAAAAACTATCCTAAAAGCAACCAACACATTTCTCTCTTTTTTTTTTCCTTCATCTCTTTCTCTCTCTTTGTTCCATGGACTTGCAACTGAAACAATGGAGAAGTCAGCAGCAGAATGAGTCAGAAGAACATGGTTCTGCAACTAAGATATCCAACTTTTTCTTTGATCAGATTCAATCCCAAACTGCAACTTCTGCTGCTGCTCTTCCTCTCTTTGTCCCTGAACCCACCTCTTCCTCCTCTTTCTCATGCTTCTCTCCTGATTCTTCCTCTTCCTCTTCCAGGTTTCTCAGTAAGTGTTTCCTGTCTTTTTGAAACGGCCAACACTTTTTTTTTCACTCAAATGTTGATGTTACTGATGATTTACTGATGTGGGTTTTGTCTGTGTTTTGTTATTTGAATTTTGTAGAGATGGGGAACTTCTTTAGCTTGGCACAGTGGCAAGAACTTGAGCTACAAGCACTGATCTACAGATACATGTTGGCTGGTGCTTCTGTTCCTCAAGAGCTTCTCTTACCCATCAAGAAAAGTCTCTTCCATCAATCCCCTTTGCACTTCCTTCACCATCCTCTTCAACATAACTTCCCTCATCACCAGCCTTCTTGTCAGTCTCCCTCTCTCTCTCTCTCTTCACTTTGCTTCTAATCTCTTTAACCAAATCTTTCTTATCAGAAGTGCATATGCTTTTTGTTTTGTGATGTTAAGAGTTATGCTTCCAAGATCTATTAAAATTCTAAATACATAGAGCCTTACAAAACAAACAAGTACAATACATTAGGCTACTTTTATATCTTGTAAAGAACTTTAAACCTTTTGTGTATAGGCCTCTTCTACAAGATCTATTAGCATATTTTTAGAATCAGACAAAGTTGGGTTTGTGAACACTCTTAATCAATGTAGTGAGATTTTTGTTGGTTGTTACTAATTATGAAACAGGGTATTGGGGAAGAGGAGCAATGGATCCTGAGCCAGGGAGGTGCAAGAGAACAGACGGGAAGAAATGGAGATGTTCGAGGGATGTTGTAGGCGGTCACAAGTATTGCGACCGCCACATCCACCGTGGTCGAAACCGTTCAAGAAAGCCTGTGGAAACCGCCACAACCGCCAACGCAACCGCAGCCACAACAGCCGCATCTTCTTTTGTCTTAGGCGAGGAGCTTGGTCACAGACCGAACAACCTCTTCTTCTCATCTGGCTCTTCGCATTCTTCAACTCAACATCTTCACCTTAATAGTCATCAAAGGTACCAAAAAGAAAAATCACTCTGTTTAACTGAAGTCATTATTGGCGTTAAGAGACTTTGAGACAAGTGTTTTGCATAATAACAGAAGCCTAATTACAAAGGGTTTAAGCATGTGTTGAAGTTATTAAAGTCTTTGTTGTTTGGGATTTGGGAATAGTTATTCCACTGTGATGTGATGCTGTGAGGAAAGGGGTAATGTTGGCAATTGGGTGACACAGAGACTTATCATCATTTTTGTGAAATAAAAACATATTCTTCTTTTCCTTCTTTTGCTGAGAGATAATGATAACAGTTGGATTTGATAGAATCTAATTTTTTTACTAGTTGGGTGAGACTTTTCAATCAGAGAAATAGAAAGAGAGAGAAAAAGAAAGAGAGAGAGAGAAGGGTGTATTTTGAAATAATGAGATGGTAGGACCTGAGTGAAAGCTGACCAAACCTGCATAGAAGAACAAAAAAAGGCTCTCAGATTCTGCAACCACTTCCCCTTAATACACATTTCAGGAAGAAAAAAAAACACAACTTAAAATTATTGATTGATTTTTTCTCTGACCAAGTCTCATTGATAGTGTAGGAGCTGATTATTTGGTTTTATCAGTCTTTTAATCTCAACTTTAAGTAAATAAAAGTATGGAACTTTCATGGTTGGATCTCCTTTTGACAATGTTCATGTTCTGTTCTAATCATAAAAGATTTGAACTTTGTCTCTCAACAGTTGTTCTTCAGAGATGAAACAAGAAAGCAACAGCAGCAACAAGAGGCCATATGAAGCTCACAGTGGATTCAGCAATGGAAGATCAGACGACGGTCACATCCTGAGGCATTTCTTTGACGACTGGCCACGATCATCGGACTCTACATCAAGTCCAATGACCTCATCGACTTGTCACCTCTCCATCTCCATGCCCGGTAACGCTTCCTCGGATGTTTCTCTAAAGCTTTCCACAGGAAACGAAGGAGAAGAAGAAGAAAACATGAGAAACAACAACGAGAGGGAGCAGCAACAGAACATGAACTGGTGGAGCAGTGGAGGCAACAACCACCACAATATGGGTGGACCATTGGCTGAAGCCTTGAGGTCAGCTTCTTCGACTTCCAGTGTTCTTCATCAGATGGGAATCTCAACTCAAGTCTTCCATTGAAGAAAAAGTGTTTAAGAAACCAAGTCAAGTCCTCTCTCTCTCTCTCTCTCTCTCTCTCTATTAGCTTCCTTTGAGTCTGCACTTTCTGCAGATGTTTTTTTTCTCTGAGTTGTTTTTGTTCCGGTGATGTTGTTAGGCCAAAATGCCCTGTTTCTGGAAATGTTTCCTTTTTCGTCCTTCTGCAGAAATAATTTATGTGTAAAAGTTTGAGACTTTGTATTTTAGCAATGAAACTCTGTTTTGCAAGCAAACTAATATGATCGATCCTCTTTCAAGTTAACCTCAATGAATGATATTATGCATTTAAAAGCTGCTTATAGGTCATTGGAGCTATAGAAGCCTATTCTTTAGTAAGAGAACACTACATTGACTAAGGAGTATTAACTCTGAAGTGTAGAAAATCAGCAAACTTGAGAAAGAAAAAATTGTAACAGCATCTCAAGCCAAATGTTCGGTTTAAGTTAAACCGAGCAAATGTCAGAAAACTAATCAAACATCACGGACCAACCGTTTCTCGGTTTGAAGGAAACACACCGGAACAACAAAACCTGAAAAATATTATTTTCGCCCTTCTTCTTCTTCTTCTCCACGCCCATGTCCTTTTCCCTTTACTGCCTTCACATTCGAACCGGAATAAACCTATCCCGGTCCATCCCTTAAACCCTTCCAGCATCTCGCTCGCCTCTCAGTGGGGCACTTAGTCGTTTCATCTAAGCCAGATTTCGTGCTCCGGCGCCTGAAAGTTGTCGCCTTTCAAGTACGTCTAAAATTTCTTTTAACCAACAAAAATTGTAGTTTTCACCTTTTTATAATTGAGCTCTAAAACCCTTTTCAAATTCTTGTTTCATTGACTAACTGAAGGTTATTTGGGCAGAAACAGTCCTCAAATTTCTGCACTTTATTACTAGATATTAGATTTTTTAGCCTTACTTTGTTCAAGTGCTTTAGAAGTTTGATTCCGCTTATATAAGTGCAGGAAATGAAGTATGTGAAGCCATTGAGGTTATTGGGCGATGCGTTGAAGACAAAAGTGTCAGTCCCTGGGCGGTTTCTCGGGTTAGATGTTGGTGATAAGTATGTTGGATTAGCTATTTCAGATCCTTCAAATATGATTGCAAATCCATTGAGGTACACATGTTTTCAGTTTCATTCACTCTCTCTCTTTTAGATTCAAGTTGTTCAATACAAAATTGATTCAGTCATACTCACCGATCATCATAGCTAATGCAAATCTTCTACTTTCTCTTGCAGTGTTCTGCTTAGGAAGAAAACAAACATTGACTTAATGGCCACAGATTTTCAGAACCTGGTAGGTGCTAAATTTATTTGCTTCTTCCTGTATTTTAGCACTAAGCTAGATTTTAAGTAGATCTTAAACAAATACAGACTTCTAAGCTCATAAGAAGTGGAGGGAAACTATATTAGTTGTTTTGGACTATGAAGAATAAATCTTGATAGTGTAGATCAGTGTCTACTAAGATTGAATCTTGTGTCATCTTTTGTAAGGAGAGGATATGTATGTAATGGCTGATCAATACTTTCTTCTTCTGGCCTTTTTGTCATAACTAGTGATTAAAGGATCAAGGTTTAACCTTTTTAGGTGTTTAGTATCTCAGCAAAACTTAACTGTTTAGGTATATCCAACACGAGTCCTTGACATTGTAGACTTATGAACTCTGTTCGAGTACACCAAATCAATTTGCCTTTACTCATGCAGGTCAAAGCATTTTCTGTGTCAGGCTTAGTCGTTGGTTATCCATTTGGCAAACTAAACAACGTAGAGGACGTAAGTTTTTTTTCCAACTGAATTGCGAAGTACTACTTATCTTCTTCACTTGAATTTATAACCAGAGAAAATGATTGATTTTTTTTTTTCAACTTGGAATAGGTTGTCACTGTGAATCGTTTCATTGAGGAACTTCGTAAAACCGAAAGACTCAAGGATGTGGAGTACACATATTGGGACGAGCGGTTATCATCAAAGGTATATAGTTTGTTCAGATTTTTAAATATCTTGCAAGTCAGCGTAGTAAATATAAGCTCTAAGGCCATTGGATCTCATGTAATTACTGTCCACAGTCCGTTGAGATGATGTTGAAGCCCTTGAATCTGCATCCAGTTCAAGAGAAGACAATGTCGGACAAGTTTGCCGCCGTAGTTATACTTCAGGTACGGTTACTTATTTCTGCAGTCTTTTTTTATCTCCTCCTTTCTTACTTAGAAACCTCTTTTTTATGTTTGATTGTTACTTGCAGGAGTACTTAGATTACGCAAACAGGTATGTGAACACTGAGCCAGCAGAGTAGAAGAAAAGCGGGTAATGACAAGTTTGATTACGATATGAACAATCTCCTCTAATCAGCTATAAGAGCAGCTAGTTTTGGATATATGAGTATATTGATGTATGTTATGTTAGTAGTGTCATGATAGTATCTTTGTAGGCAAATCATTCTTTTATCTTGCATCGTGTTACATCGTAGCTCGCTTTTTAATAGAATCGAATACCCAAAAACCTCAAAACAAATTTAGGACTCTTTTAAATGGTTTAAAATCCTCATTGCAATGTTCCAACAGTCTTGTTGATTTCCTCCAGTTTCTTCATCCTTAACCTTTCGCTTTCAGCCAGTAGCTGCCAAAAGTAAAGTCATCAACACACATTAGATCTGCTTTAGGAGGAATCTACAAAGCTTACTTAACTCTTTGAATATGGATTAGACCAAATAATACCTCCATTAACATGGAAACAAGGTGAGTTTTCTCTTTGTTCTTTTCGTTGAAAGCTTCCATTGTATCTTTGTATTCCTTCTCCTGTCCAGATTATCATTTCTCTTGTCTTAAACAGAGTTTTAGAAATAAAAGACTTTAAAGGATGAAAATCTGGAAAAAAAGAAACCTTCTTTTGACAGCTTTGAGCTAAAGATTTGATATCACGATTCGCCATGTCGATTTTCTTCCTCACCATTGCAACTTCTTTTCTCATTGGATCTCCCATAATCTCTAGCTCCTGTTTTTTTTTTTTTTAGCAAGAACCTTATCAAACACCAAAGTTCACCATGTTTCTAACAAATAAATGGCTTTTAAACTTACTTCCAATGTTTGAGTCAAGCATCTTGTAGCTTCCTCTGCAAAACCGAGACGCTGTTGAACTTTTTCTTTAACAGTCATCTTCTTCCTCTCGATCTCTTCTTCTCGGGCTTGAAACCTCGACACAGCGACTTTCCATATCTCTTCTTCTTCGTTCTCCTCTATTGGAAGCTTACCGTTAGTGATGACTGCAGAAGCTGCAGCAGGAGCTGGTCCTGAGTTCTTGCTACTCATCTTTTTGGGGTTTTGAGTTCTTGTGTCTCTCTCCCAATATCTATTTATGTACTTTTTTTTAGTGACTTTTGCTTTTGCTTCAATTCAATCTTCTGAAACGGATTTGCTTTGCTTTTACACCATTCCAAAATCAAAGCAAACAATCCCGCCAAAAGGAAAAGTTAAAAAAAGTTAAATAAAAATAAATTTCGTAATTTAAGTGGAGCCAATCTGATGATCTAGATATCTTTTTGGGCTTTTCTTCTTTAATGTTTGCAAGTTGCAATATTTGTTGAGAAGGAGAGAATAAAAAATCCCAATTTTAGAGGTAAGAAGATCCCAAATTTACTGTCCGTTTAGAGGTAAAAAAGATGGAGCACAATCATTGCAATTTCGACAACTTTATTTAATTAATTAGCCGATTAATTTGCCTAAGCTGCCGTATAATATAAGCATCTACATGATTTTAACATCCAAGACACCACATCTCGTGCATAATTTGCTCTAAGATTGTGAAGAGACGCATTGGGGAATTTTTAAATATAATTTGCTGCATAAGAATTTGATTGTATAACTATAAAGAAAAAAATCAGTCCTCCAGGCCTAAACTTATTTTGTACTTCTGAAATTATAATCTAGGCCCATAACGAGCCAGAAGACCCAGTAATAAAAAGCCCATTTCATATTAAACGAATAACAGATTTTGTCCCACATCGGTTGTATAGTTAGAAGCAGCTACGTTTATATAGCGTTAGAGTCAGCAACATGATTGTCCCTTCGGGGACATCCGATAAAATTGGAACGATACAGAGAAGATTAGCATGGCCCCTGCGCAAGGATGACACGCACAAATCGAGAAATGGTCCATATTTTTTTTTCTCAAAAATTTCCAGAAATCGATTTCATCTTCTGGGTTTTGGCTCTTCGATTGTTCTCTGCAATTCTTTGCAACACAACTCAAACTCTTGAAGAATCTGGGCGAAAAAGACTAATCCAAAATATATTTTTTTCGGAGATGTTGCATATATTTTTATCTGATTTCGTTGAAAAATAAATTAAACAGTGTTGAAGAATATGTTCATTGTTGCAGATTCGGAGATCGGGAAAATGCTCAAAATCTTTGTTGGAACATATGTGTATATATAAATATAGCAAATTATAGTTTTGAGTGATTAAAACCTAAACTATGAATATTATAGCCTAGCATTGAACTCCGACATGATGCTAAACCTTCCCTGTAATTTGAAGTAAAAATGCGAATATATAAAAACTAAAATTTTCACCGTGAATTATATATGATTATGTCTAAGAGGCGGCTAAATTTACATATTAGACTTAAGAACTTAAGAAGATTATGATAAATTACTAACAAAGTCTTTTTACTTTGAATACTTTTCTGCCAGAAGTTTTTCTCGGCTTGTGCTTAAAACAACTCGAACTCGAGATGATCGCCAATGGCTTTGCATTCAAGGTACCTATCATCATTGCCTCCAGGTGAACCCGCCGCCTCCGGTCCACCGCCAAACTCATAGAAATCCGGCAGCTCAGGCGGTATCGCGCACCGGATCAGAGCCCAATTCAACCCTTCAAAGAAAGGATGTCTTTTGATCTCCGCAGATCCTTTCTCTGACCCGAGCCGGTTCTCCGGTTCCTTAACCAGAAGCCCTCTGATCAAATCCTTCGCCTGGAAGCTCACGAGCGGGCTATCTGGAAACTTGAGGTTCTGCAACACAACATTGGCCAAAGTCTCGTCGTTGTTGTAACCTTTGAATGGTGTTTTCCCGTAAAGAAGCTCGTAGAGTAGAACCCCGAAAGTCCACCAGTCAACAGCAGCGCCGTGTCCTTCTCCTTTGATGATCTCTGGAGCTAAGTACTCGTGTGTTCCCACAAAGGAATTGGATCTTGCTTCCGTTGGTTCAGCCACGAGCTGAGGCAATGATCTCTTCAACTGTTGCTGCTTTTGCGAAAGATGATCGTTCTTTTTCGGTTTTCGACCTTGTTGTTGTTGGTTTGAGGAGAGCCTAGGGCTGAAACAAGAAACCTGGCAAGATGGTTCGATGATACAGAACGGTTGTATGCAGTTTGATGTGTTGTATGGACCTGAAACCCTCGCAGGATCTTTCCCTGGCGGAGAAGTTGACCTGAGAAGAGTCGGATTCACTGCACATCGGAGCGAGAGGTCGAAATCCGTAAGCATGATGTGTCCATCTTCACGGACTAGAATGTTCTCCGGTTTCAAGTCTCGGTATATAACACCAAGCATGTGTAAGTACTCCAACGCAAGGAGAATCTCAGCAACATAGAACCTGAAAAACAAGTTTATATCGTCTGGTTAAGTAAACTAAATGATTCGAGATGGCGCAAATTCAAAAAAAGGTAATATCTTTACCTTGCTGCAGTTTCAGGGAAACATCGGCCTAGCTGTTTCTGTCTAAGCACATGAAGATCTCCTCCAGGACAATACTCCATGACTAGACAAGACAAGTTATCCGAAGTGAACTGCGAGTATAACGTAGGAAGAAACGGATGGTCCAGCATTTTGAGTATTTCACGTTCCGCTTGTGCCCTTGGACTCTTTTTCCTTCTTGCCAAGAACTCGTTGTCCATGACCTTTATGGCAAACAAGCAGTTTGTACCAATCAGCTCAGCTAGATAAACTGTTCCTATGTCTCCACAGCCGAGTTTCTTCAAAAGGTTAAAGTGTCGTAATCCCAAAGATCCGTATTGCAGCTTCACATGCTTAATCGCTTCCCATCTCACATCCATCGACATGTGAGGCTTGTTCCCACAGCTGAACCTGCTCAGATTGCTCTCCTCACTCATGCTTGTGCTCCTGCTATATTCCCCAAGACTATCTTTTGAACTCAAGGAGAACTCGAATTTCTCACTTGAAGTTGGGTTCTCTGTTTCCTTTTCACCCCTTGCCCCGTTTCCACTGTCATTGCTCGAGGAAACACCTTGTTTCATGACTACAATCTCAGCTTCGGAGCTTTGACTAACATTACAAGAACCAGAGGAGTTCTCATCAGCGGATACTTGATGAGCTTCTTTACCAAAGTTATTTGAAATAGAGCTCAAACTGTCTGAGCAAATCTCAGGTTTATGACTAGTAGTATCTATGCTGTTGCTCTTCAACGTACAGTGACATCTCTGGCAGAGAAGCTTATCATTTGCACTAGAATCTAAAGAAATACCAGTTTCTTCATCCTTTGTTGTTGTGTTGGCTGCAGAAACGATCCCAATTTTTAACTTCTTCTTAAGCAAAATCTTCTTTTTCGGCTGCTGTCTGGGACGAGGAATCATTCTTGTTACCTTGCGTACCGTTTTGCTCTTCACTGTTCCTGAGCTAGGTGCGTTGTCCAGCTTCCCTTTCTCCTCCATATCCAGAGTCGATGAGAGAATCTTCTTTTCAAGCTCCGTCGCAACATCTTTCTCGCTAGACTCAGAAGGCAGTGAGGTAACATGTTTGTCTATTTCTTTCACATCATCTTCAACAAACGACGGAGAGACAACATTTTCATCTAACTCTATCTCATAATCTCCACTGCCGGAACTAAGACAAGACCCAGATTTGTTGGGTTTATGCAACATCTTCATCTCCAGCATTTGGTTTCCAGCTTGAGATGACTCAGAAACCGGGTTAGAAGGCTCTTCAAACCGCTCAGGCACACTCCTCGAAGAGCTTGGTTTATCGTTTACAGGCATCAAAGATACATCAGTAGCAACCAAGCTTCCTTTACCCTTGTCCACAGGAACAAACCCAGACCTGCTACTAGATTCATTCGAAACCTGGTTATACAAACTCTTGATCCTGTCTGCTTCTGACACCCTCGGAGACGCAGCTGCGGATTTCGACAACCGTTTCTGAGCAGCCATTTCCGACGCCTTGGAGATGCAACGATCCCTCAGAGCCTGCTTCAAGGAAACCGAATCAGAGAGTCCGAATACTCTAGGCGATTGAGGTGTCCCTGGTTTCTTCATTGCGACTCTCTTCGAAGGGCTCGTGGTCCTGCTTGGCCCTGCACTCGCGCTCGTCTCGTGGTTATGGAAAGAAGAGCTCATTAGCCTCGTCGATGGTTTCACAGAGATAGACTGAAAAAGCTTGTCAATGTCATACTCAAGAGAGCCATGATACTCTCGCTGCTTCCGCTCCAAATCTTTGCTTGATGATCCCAAAACAGATTTGCCATATCTCCCTGAATGTTTCGCCAATGTTGCTTCGTCTTTCTCTTCCACAATTTCGCAGGAACCTGCAAACGATCCCATTGCAGCAGCGTTTCTACAGTATCTGAAGATAAAATCAAAGTGGCGCAGAGGTATTCATCTTCTGTGATCTGTTCTTAAAGATCCTGCAACAATCACAGTTACCTGAAAAAAAAAAAGGGTAAATGAAAAGTTTCAATAAAAGAGTAAACTTCAAATGAAGAAGAACAATGTCTATGGAATGATGAAGAAATTAAAAAAATGAAAGAACTTAAGGGAAATAAATGTAAAGTGAGTGGAGGGAATTAAAGTTGAAGCAGCAGATCTACAAATGCAAATTAATAGCTTAGGTCATTGCAGACTCAATCATGAACCCTACACAAGTACAGATAGAGAGATACCCATAAAACTAAACAGCGAAAAAGAACACATTTTTAAAGACAACCTCTCATAGAAAATTACAGGAATTTTTGTAAGGAATCACAAAAATCAAACCGTGTTGTTGTAATAGAAGAAAGAATAAAAGAGAAAGCTTTGAGCGAGGTGAGAGATCTAAACAACTAGCAGAAGGAATCAAAGATTGTTCCCAGTCTCAGATCTCATGAAACTTTAAACAAATTAGGAAACCAAAAACAGTGGCTGAAGCAGGAGTGAGTATTCGATTTAACCCAATTAAATGCGATAATTTCGATAAACAAAACTTGAAAACCCCACAAACAAATCTCGTATGTCAAATCGTGGAAGTAATTTCAAATGCGTGAAAACAAAGATAAACAAAAATAAACCTAATTACGAATTGAGAAACTGTACAAAGCGCAGTGAGACCACATATAGAAAATGAAAGGTCAGAAAAAAGGAACAATCTTCAGAGAAACCCACCAAAAGAAACTCCTGAATACGGTCCCCAAATCTCATGAAAAAAAAGGCAATCAAAGAGAGTTACAGAGAAGAAGAAAAAAAGGTGCAAATGAAGGCGTATGCGAGAAAAAAAAGGTAAAGGAAAGGAAGAGGATTTACTTTACCCAGAAAAGAGCTAATGTAGCTGAGAAACTCTAAAAATCGGAGTGAATTTGGAGCTTAGATAAACCCTAATGGCCTGAGCTCTTGAAGAGAATCCAGAGAGAAAGAGAGAGAGAGGAGGAAGAAAGTAAAAGTTTTTTTTATTTTTCTTCTTAATTTCTGGGGTTTGGTGTAATTTTTGTTTTTTCGGTGAATAGCGTTAAGAGATGATCAAGTTGAAAAACATGGTGGGGCCCATAGCATATGTTTGCGGGTCTTTCATATTATATGCGTCAGAAAAATATAATCAAAAATTTGTATTTCTGTAACGTTTCATATACTATTTCCGTCGCCTACTTCAAGAGATATTTACACTATTCCATATCAAAATATAGATTCAAAATTTTGATTTACCTGAATTTCAAAAAAATTACATAAATCAGATTTGAGTCTTCTTTCTTGGATCTACGTTGTTTTTCTTTTTAATACTAGAAGAATTGTATACATGAACTTGTCTAGCCATTATATTATTATATCTAGTCATGTCAAAAAAAGCATTCAAGAATTCAGTCACGAAAATTTTGATGATCAATAATTTACTTTTACTATCATGACACATTTGACCAAAGTCAAATTGGAAAAAAAAATTATTCATCATTTCTCGGATAGTGACTAGAAGAGTCTTAACCACATTCTAGTTACACTAATCTCTTTCGGCTTGATTTAATATTTCCCTTATATGTAATCTGTATAGTTTAAGGTTATTTTTTTATAGTCTTACGAGTATTAATTAGTCGGTAACTCCACTTTTTAGTCGTATTGTCTTTAGATTTACTGTTAAACAAAATGGTAGGTAAGATTGGCGAGAAGATAAAATAGTTGTGATCATGTGAATATTTTAAAAATTACTGTGGAGCAATATTGTCAGAATTAAGACAGTACCCAATGCGCAGTTATTTTTCAAATTGCTTTTTCGACAACACTTCTTTCGAAGATTAAAAACGTTTCCCTAATTTATTTTTCGGATATATTTAATTTGTAAAAGCACTGTTTTTTTCGTCTTTCAAATTCATAATATGACTTCAAACAGTGGATTTTACAAGTACTAGTATGAACATATAATTAAGAATTACGCCTGTTGCTAACTAGGGAAACATTAATGATTAACGAAAGATATGTTCAAATTTAAGCAGACAAAAATAATACAAATGCGTCTTATGTAAACAAAAAAGTATATATAACGATTCTCACATTAAAAAAATAAGTAGATTAAAACTGCATGCTCAATCGGAAACTTTGGTGATAAAATTGAGTAGCACGTACATATATATAATCATACAGTATTTACATGTTTGTAGATGGCGTTGACTATGTAGAATAGTAGGTCAATGGTTCATACACGTTTGTAAAACTTATATACACAGGGGGAATCGATCCTTTTCTTCAGTGGTTGCAATTTACAAGAAAGAATAGACTATGTTTTCCCGTAAAACATTAATTATATATATCACTAATTACCAAATCTCATAAGTACTATCAAAAACTGAAATAGTGTTGAAAAAAGTATTATGAATTCAATTAGTCAACAATAATAAAATTAGTAAAATAAAGAAGGTAGACATAGGCAAAAAATGAAGAATGAAGACGAGAAATTAATGCATAAGGAAAAATCAAATAAAGTAGAACGGTAACCAGAAGATAAGTATATTAAACAGAAATTATTTTTAAAAAAAAATCAATAGTTATAAAAATAAAGGTAGAAAAATGACTACTGTATATGTTTCCTTAAAAAAATCCTATGCAACGTGTAAATTTATAAAATTTAATATAAATATTTTAGTCTCACTTCATGTTAGTGGATATCTGCAATCGAAAGTAAGTTTTCTATGTTAACGTTGAGTCATTAAAACGCTAACACCATTTTTTTCCCAAAACAGAAGTGAAGTCGTTCAATTGTTTCATCTTAAAAGTGTAAACAAATTCCAAAGACATAAGTTGATAGCTAAGACTATGATCGAGATAATATAACAATGTATTTTTGAATCTGGCCAAAAGCCTAAATCATATAGTTGGAACGTGGAGTAGTAGACTTCATAGGCCTTTTGAGAACCCTTGAGCCTAGGATTCTTCTTTCTGCGCCTTTAGTCTTTTCCCTCTTGCTTTAAATCCCCATTAATTATAGTATTTTAAACATTAACTAAGATCATACCCCCATCAAATGTACTACGTCCGCTTCTGATTTCTTTACTTACCTAATTAATCTAGCAATCACATCAAAACATTATATTATGCAAAACATATGCACGCGCATGTAGAAATATATTATCGTCCTGCTTAATTTAAATGAATTATTTAATATTTTTGCATATTGACTTCTTCTTTTTTCGGGTGCAAAATGTTTGCATGTTGATAAAAAAAAAGAAAAAAGGTTAAAGTTTACATCTTTTCGAGTAGAAACGATCGACGGAACGAAACCAGATTGGGCTTTTTGGGAAAGAAAAGAAAAATCAAACCTGCCATCCTTAATCTTGCATAGTTGTATATCACCCTAACTAATGTTTTGGGATCGATCAAATATGAAAGATATATCTTTTTGGGTCTAAAAGATATATCAAATACTCGAAATGATATTAATTAACTGTATGATGAATAAAATTAACTTGTAAATGGAGCTAGGTGTACTAAGAGTTTAGAGCTAAACTAAATCATGTAAGTCGTAGGGATAGTGAAAAGAACAATATAAACAAATACTATGATTTGAGATCTTACAATGAAGTGTGGCCGCGCTTACAAGTAAATGATTTATGATACAGTATGAAATTAATTATATATAACTATTTATCTACTGATGATCTAGATAAAGTGGTTATTTATCTAAGATCTTAAATAGCCACTTTTCGTCGTCTAACTAGCTAGTAAAAACCATAATCTCCTAACTCGAGCCGTGACTATAAATTCTTAAAGAAGGATTCATCATATTCTCTCGATTGGCTTCACTCACTACACAATATATGTAGATGTATAAGCTACATACAATATGCAAAACTCACATAAATATGCCTAAAATAGCTAATCACAAACAAGCATCTAAACAAACTTTGAGTCCCATTCAAAGTTTTATCCCATTTTGCCTGCTCTAGTTGTTATGTTTATTCTTGTTTTCACTGCAAACATTTCACTTTATAGTTAGTTATGGTTATAGACGCTTAAATAGACTATTTTACATATATGTATCCAAGATTAATATGGACTTTAATTAGTTTAGAATAACGATTAAATATAGTGTAATTTACGTATGGATGTTGATAATTATTGCGTGGACGGCGAATCAGAAACAACGGTGCACAAGGACAAATGATTCGAGTTATGTTTATATTTTGGTAAACTATTAAACAAAACAATATCAAAGCTATAAGATCTGAGAGATGAGAATCCAAGGCAAATGATATATGTAAAATAATAATGCGGAAACCAAAATTAGAGTTTTTGGTAAAATAAAAAGAATAAGAAGGGAACAAGCTAGAGAATAAGGCAACCAGTATTGGTTTCACATGTTTGTGTCGACAGGCCACACCCCCATAAAAGGCTTGCTTGGCGTTTTTTGTCTTGGCATGCATCTTAATCCACTCCACCATTTTTTGCCTCCATTTATTAAATCGATTTTCTAGTTATACGTATTTTGAATTTTTTAAAAAAATTAATGAGAGAAGGAAAAATAAAATCGACTATGGGTTATTATTGTACCTACTGTTTTTGGATGGGAGTGTGAGAGAAACAGAATTAGTTCATTCAAAAATATTGTATTTTTTTAGAGCAAAGGTTGCGTGGGCCGTATAGTAATAAACCGATTAAAAGAAAATAATTGCGTACAATTTATATATATAATTAATCAAATTATGTTGCACATGCATGACTTACGCCGTTAGGAGCTCCGACGACCTTAGTGTCACTATGATTTCTTGATTTATTTAACGTCAAAACAAAGAGAACAAATGTTGTTTTACGTCCTTAAGCACATACATTATAAGTATTTGTATGCAACTTTTTTCCTGGAATACATGTTCTTTTTACTTGTCTTTTAAGGTTTGTGTTAAATATACATGTAATGATATATGGCTGACTTGTTAATATACTAGTAAATTGCTAATAAAGTGTTATGAGTTTATTAAAAATATATATTTGTACTTCTATGCAGTGTATAGTTGCTTTGAATTTCCTATCGTGACATATGTGTTTTGACGTAAAATCAAAATATCCAAAAAGAAAAAAAATAATATGAAGACAAATTGAAACTAACAAAAAAGAAAGTAAGTAATGTCTACCAAACTTTTCTTTCTAGAAAATAAGTTTATCTTTAGGGAAACAAAACTTGGCCATAAAAGTGAAAGAGAGTTCAGCCTAGACACAATAATTCCATTTCCAAAAACATTTTTTGTCTACAAGTAATGATTTGATTTACAGTATTTACTGTTGTTAATTTCTAATAGTATTATATTTCATCCCTATAATTTTAGGGTTTTAATTATGTGAAAAAATTGCAAGAACTTGAAGATGATACTAATATGAGTCATTTCTAAAGTAAATGGTGCTCTTTGTAAGTCTTCAGAAAATGGTTTCAAGCGAGAGCAAGCCCTGATGTTCGGCTTTCACCGTCCAACCATCCACGGGCAAGGGAGCAAATAGCTCCCCCTTTCACTGTTTTATCCTTCCTGATGGGCCTTTTATCAAACCACCTAGGCCCAGACTAAATGCTCCAAATCCAATAAGCTCGCGTTCGGTTTAGCTCCACCGAACCGGAATCAACTTAGCAACCTGAAATACGAACCAACTTCTCACAGTCGACATTTCTCAATCTTTAGAGCTAAACCCAACCAAAAGATTTATTTGCTTAGAAAAAATAGCCTTTTCGTATTCAGGATGATCCCTCCAGAAAAATAAAGATTATCTAAAGAAAATGATAAATCTCATTCTGACACACACTAATTCAATCAGAGACTCTCTTTCTCCACCATGCTCTTCTTCCGACCCGTGAAGATTGGTTTTCCCAGCCTTGCCCTTTCTTGCCATTGTTTTCTCACAATCCAGTACCACACGTCAAACCGACCATACTTAATCTCCCTTCGAAGTGCCATCAACTCATAGTAATCCAGACCGTCAATATCTTTACCGCACATTCTCCTAGGAGAAGAAATCAAACACAACCCACATGAGTCATAAACAAAAAATATCATTCTCGAGAGCCAGAAACGATGTTAATGATTCACATACCCGATCCAAAGCTGAGATTCCTTGATCTCCAACCTCATGCGCTCCATGCTTTCCAGCTGCAAGAGCATAAAACAAGCACTTGTAAACAACAACAACAGCAACCAAAAAAAGAGACACAACAGGGAAGTGGATCATATATATATGTGCACGCACCACTCTTATATGATCATCCCAATCTTGTATTCCTTCAGAGCTGTATTGTTTAACAAAGATTCCTTCAATGAAATGATCAATTATGTATACCAATCATCACACAAGTTTCTGTGCTATGCGTTTTACCTGTTCCGCTGCTCTCTCGCCCTCTTCCTATTAAGCATTCTACTCTCTGAGGAAAGTATTTGACGTCTAAGCTCCGGATCCACCTTTCTTTCAACCTTTGTGATTTGAGAGAAATGTTAATACAAAGATCAAGATCGATCTACAAAAGAAAGAAAAACAAAAATGCACAGATTACAATATCCTTTACCTGCTTGACCAGCCTCTTTTCATTTTCCTCCTTCTCTATTGTCTTCTGTCATATGTAAAAACCAAAATGTTATATGCTAATATTGCTGTATCACCACTTATTGAATAGAAATGACAAGTGTACACGTTACCTTGTCTAGTTGCTCTTGAACCCTGACCAAGCCCTGTTGAAGCTGACTATCAAGTGACCGCAGCTCGGTGGAACTCAGATCGTCGATACCCTCACCATGCAGTCTCCTGGGAGTAAAGACAATTTTTTTTTAAAAAGGCTTAGGGTTTCGGGAAAGTGGGACAGTTAGTGTTTGTTAAATGAGTCTTATTACTCGTTCAAAATCTGCAAGTCCTCAAGTTGGCTCTTCAGAGTCTCAGCCTTTAGCAGCTGCAACATTAACACAAGGTAGGTTGTAATAACAAAACGTAAGCAACAACACACACACATATATATATATATATATATATACGTACCAACTCTCTGAGACACACTCTTTCATAACCTGAAGACGCTCGAGTTCGCACTCCAGAAGATTAGCCTTTAGCAGCTGCAACAACACAAGTTCGATGGAAAATCATTTCCACTGAAAAGAGGAGAGAGAAAGTGCATATGTGTGTGCACTTATATATTATACATACCAATGCTTGGAGGTCTTCTTGTGGCCTTTGTTCAGAGCTGTATCAATTGCAAGAAGAATAAGTCAAGTGTACAACAAAACCCTATAAAACTGAAAAGGAGACACATCGTTACACACAAAGACTACCTGGTGAATTCGCAGGAATCGGACATCTCTCTCTCTCTCTCTCCCACGTTCTTCGGCGTATGCTAAGCCTTCAGTTTCAATTTATGTCGTATTCCCCAATATTTTATATAGCTTTAGCTTTGCTTCAAAAGAGGAAAGAATAATCAGGTTAAAAAACGAACACAACTTAATGGGCCGGTTGACCCAAAACTTAATTTTGCAGATTTCTAGAGACATTGCAAATATGTTTCTGGCAATACTCCCGTCTTTGCAAGTGATTCCGTAACGGAGAGTGACGAGTTGGGGCCAACTCATTGCCAAATTGCATTTGATTGATGATTTGATACGTGCTCAGTTCGTATTGTTTCATCAGTTTGTGTTCAATCTCTGAAAACTTGCTTTCTACAATTATTTCTTTTTTTGTTTCTACATATCTCTTGCCCAAGAAAAATCAGATTATTTTGATGTGAAGCTAAGTTTTAATCTTTTGTGAGCATATATATAGCTCATATATTAGCCATGTATATATATTATGGAGATGCCTTGTGAAAAGAGAACTACTAGCTCTGTTTAGGAAAATACATTTGAAATATTCATAAGACACTATTTATTCTGATCAAGCCCCAGAAGAAAATTAGGTTAAGCCAATCTGAATATACAGTTAAGGCTATTTGCTCAAACTAGGTATTTTCAGTTCATTTTTGTTCTAGTTGGACATGGGTTTACTTGTAAAAACTATAAAGTCGTTCTTGAATTTGTTATTATGGGCCTTAATGGTCGGAAAAAAATAGCCCAATAAGTCTCAAACCCATCATTATACTAAAATTACTTAGCTCAAGAGTTATCCAACATTTGTGACTTTTCCAGTTCCACAACAAATGAACAAAACTATTTTAGTCCCCCGATTTATTATTACCCTTTATTTTTATTTCCTACTTTCCACGTGTAAACGTCCTCCAATCAAAGGCCGAGTTTTGGTTAATTTGTAGCCAATTAGACTCGGCTCATATTAGCCTTTTGCTCATTCTTATTTCCATTGCATTTTCATTTTCCACACACCCACCAACTTAAGCGACAAGATAAACAACTTCTGACGATCGGATAAAATGGCGGAGAAAAGCTTCAAATACATCATCCTCGGCGGCGGCGTCTCGGCCGTGAGTATTTCTCATTCTTATATTCACGGTGTTTTCGTTTTTTCCGCCGTTCCTTTTGATTTCGGAAGAGCTTGATTCGATTTTGTGTTGTTAAAATATCACAATTCTCCTAGTTTCAAATCTTGGAGTTTGCTTTTGTTATTAAGATAGCGATTATATTCTGATTCGTAAGCTTAAAACGTCCGATCTGTGACTGAATTGGATTGATCGGTGAGATAATATTACAATCGCAACTTGAATTTTGAAATCGAACAATCGCATGTCCATTGATCCATTCGCGAGGTCAAAGCTTGGATTTATAGTAGCTTCGGCCTTTGGTTCAGTCTCGTCGTTTCACTTCTATATGAGATTAAGTTTGTACTCTGCAAAATCACATAGCGTACGATCCTCATGGCTCTCTTTAGTTTGCACGATTGTGTCTTGGTTTTAGCTGAGATTGATCGTAGTAAATAAACAACTGAGCAATTTCAACTCTGATCTTGAATTTTTTTGTTGTTTCTTTTTTATCCTTTACTGTATTTAGGGATACGCAGCTAAGGAGTTTGCGAATCAAGGGGTTAAGCCAGGAGAATTGGCAGTTATCTCCAAAGAAGCTGTAAGCTTTCTCTCGATTTTGCAAAGCTATTATTATGAACTGTGTGTGACTTGTAACCTATGATCCTTATATACTCAGTATTGTCCTTAGGTGGCTCCTTATGAACGTCCTGCTCTTAGCAAGGGATATTTGTTTCCTGAAGGTAAGACAAACTACAATGATAAGTTTTGATTTTTTTTTAAACTTTCTACTTTTGGGGTGGTTATGCTTTTTTTTTTTTCAAGAAACAATTTAGGATCATCTTTCTGTTTGCAGGGGCTGCTAGACTTCCAGGTTTCCATTGCTGTGTTGGTAGCGGTGGAGAGAAACTGCTTCCTGAATCGTATAAACAGAAAGGTAATGAACTCTCTGCACATCACCATGATCAGTCCCTTGCTCACCTGTGTAGCTCCACTAATCAAATGATAGATCTTTCATTTCACGGAAGTTTATCGGCCGCTACATTACCCTGCAAGCTTAAATTATTATGCTACTGGATCTAAATCGTGCTGCCATTTTTTCGTTTGTTCTTTGTGTTTGCAGGGATTGAGTTGATACTAAGCACAGAAATAGTGAAAGCCGATCTCTCTGCCAAGAGTCTTGTCAGTGCAGCAGGGGATGTCTTCAAATATGAGACTCTCATAATTGCAACTGGTTCTACTGTAAAGGCCGATATCCCTTGCATTCCTTGCATCAGCAAAAGCTTCTCTCTGATGAGAAGAAAGTAACTCTTTTTTTTTCTTTTTTTCTTTGCAGGTTCTTAGATTGACTGATTTTGGAGTGAAGGGTGCAGACTCTAAGAATATTCTCTATCTGAGAGAGATTGATGATGCCGACAATTTGGTTGAAGCCATCAAGGCAAAGAAAGGCGGAAAGGCTGTAGTTGTTGGTGGAGGTTACATTGGTCTTGAGCTTAGTGCAGCTTTGAGGATCAACAACTTTGATGTCACTATGGTTTTCCCTGAACCTTGGTGCAGTAAGTTGATACATATCTTTTCGCAGTTCAGTTCATTCATTAATTTATTTATTACTTTAGTTACACATAATAAAAAAAAACCAACCTTCACGCAGTGCCTAGGCTTTTCACCGCCGATATCGCTGCTTTCTATGAGACTTATTACACAAACAAGGGAGTGAAGATCATTAAAGGAACAGTGGCATCTGGTTTCACCGCTCATTCCAATGGAGAGGTAAACTAAATAACTATTAGCCTTAGGAGTGGGAATTTGGTTTAACGTTCCAGTTTTGATTTTTTCTTCTTTTACAGAAGTTAAAACTGAGTTTAAACTAAATATTTTGGGTTTATAATAGTAAAACCAATTTGGAGTATGAACACATTGTCTTTCGGTGCCAATGTTTTTACTTGTTCTTCTCCGCCAGGTGAAGGAAGTACAACTCAAGGATGGAAGGTCACTGGAAGCCGACATTGTGATAGTTGGTGTTGGTGCAAAACCATTGACATCCTTATTCAAGGGACAGGTCGAAGAAGACAAAGGTGGAATTAAGGTATCTTATCTGCTCTGTGTGCGCCTCTTCGTGTTCTCCCGTACCATTCTGATTTGAATCTTTTAACCGGTTAACCGTTTCACGCAGACCGATGCATTCTTCAAAACAAGTGTTCCTGATGTTTACGCTGTTGGTGACGTTGCCACTTTCCCCTTGAAAATGTACGGAGACGTGAGAAGGGTCGAGCATGTTGACCACTCTCGCAAATCCGCAGAGCAAGCTGTTAAGGTAATGATGAATTCAATAAAGTTACTATTTGATAATGAATTATAGAGAGTAACATAGTTGTATATCTGAAGAACCGTTTATAATATGGGATACATTGTGGCAGGCGATCAAAGCGGCTGAGGGAGGCGGAGCTGTGGAGGAATACGACTATCTCCCATTCTTCTACTCTCGCTCGTTTGATCTCTCATGGCAGTTCTATGGAGACAACGTAGGAGACTCTGTCTTATTTGGAGACAGCAACCCATCAAACCCGAAACCAAGATTCGGAGCATATTGGATTCAAGGTGGTAAAGTGGTTGGAGCATTCATGGAAGGAGGTAGTGGTGACGAGAACAAAGCCTTGGCTAAAGTCGCCAAAGCTCGACCTGTTGCAGAGAGCCTCGAGGAGCTGACCAAGCAAGGCATTTCATTCGCCGCTAAGATCTAAGTGTGAGAGATGGAGAGAAACAGAACACCAACGCACTCGCTTCTTCTATTCTATGTTTACAATAAGGTTACATTGTTTAGCAACGTATTTGAGACTATGTTTTGCTGAAATAAGTTGTGTGTTTGTATTGCCTCTTCAAACTCCATAAGAGTGTAACAGAGGAAACATGATCAACATTCACATTTTAGATTTTATGTATTGGTCAGACTGCAGTTTCAGTATTTGTTGTTGGTTCTCAAATCCATTTAACAATCTATTCTCAATTTTGTTAGATGTTTTATAAAAACTATATTTCCCTTCTGTAATTATGGATTTCCCTATTTTAAAGTTGTGAATTTAACCATTTTCCATCTTCTTACCTTTAAAATTTGGATTTGGTCTGGACGATCCAAACATAAGTACAAACAGATTTTAGTGCAATTGAATATATAAGATAATTTTGTTGTTCTCGAAATTATACTAAGCTAATAAAATAAGATGATATTTTGTTGCTTAATTGCTTAGCTTTTTCTCTTATAGATAATTTCTCAAATTATTTGGATAGTGATAAAAAAAAATGCTAACGAGTTAAAATTCACAAAAAGAATGCAAATGGGCCTAAATGTTGAACGGTCCTTTTTCATTTTAGATTCGGAAGTACATATTTTCTTGGGGTTCTGATCTTTTATAAAATGTCTTTTAAATCGAAGGTTTGTTTTTAATAAAAAGCCCTTTTTGTTTAGATTTTTGGTTATAAAATTATAATCCCTTTGATTTAGTTTTTAAAATTTAATATTGTGGTTTTCTGAACGCAACATGATGGGAAACTTATAAACGTTACCATCAAATTCATAATAAGTGCTTAAAAAGTAGTGTGAATCATCTTGACTATGGAGTTCACATGGGATGAGCCAAACCGTTATTAATTAGCATAATGAGAGATTTGATGCATATTCATAAGTTTGTTGGTGGGGCAAACTCTATTAAGTATGGAGGTCATATTGTTAGGTCTTGTCATAAATTCAAAGTAAATGGAAATAAATGGGACAGTGAAGCACAGCCAAAAGTAATTCACCAGAATTTTCATTTAATACTCTCTTTTGTAATAAATATATGCTACATTTGTGAGGAGGAGGGCGAATCAACTGATTTTACGTGTCTACGTTTTTCCCCTAAAAAGACAACAAATATGGTGGGACTTTTATGACTTACAAAATACTTATATTGTATATACAATGTCACCTAATCCACTTTTTAGTTTTAGAGTAGTTGCAAGTTTTTTATTTTCGTTTTGCTGTCAACTATCACGTTTTTCAGATTTGTTTAAAAGTTATTTATATTTATCGAAACAATTTTTTATTCAATGATTTTTCAAATGATCGGGGATTGAAGATTTAGAATAGCCATTTTTCACATATCGTAGGTGCAAATTTGTTCAGAAAAGTCTAGCATGATGCATCATGCAAGTTGAGTCATCCGTCATAGACTCATAGTGTTATATATATACTACAAGCTGAATTATTTGTTAATACTTAAATAAATGATCGAATATAGATCATTGTTGATAAGACGTTGAAGTTATTTTAATGAGTATACTAGAGAGTATTTTATTAAAACTTTGGATACGAGATTCATGAGTCTGTTCGCAAAGACAAAAGTAATTCTAAACATTTTTAAAAGGATTGATCCTCATGATAGTCTTCAAAAAAACTTCAAAAGAAAAGAGTCATCATTTCGCTATCGTGTATGGTTAAAAACTCTTGCTTGTTAGTGACTGGTTCCGTACATAGTCCATGCCATCTCAAAGTCGTTTTTCCATGAAACCTTCATGTAGGATATGTTTAAGCTATATATTTTTTTTTTTATAAAAATGTTTAAGCTATTTTCTTCAATAGCAAACACCAATCGAAGCCGAATGTACGTTTTAGTCTCATAGATTTGTATATTCTAGCATTTGAAAACAATAACTTTTTTTGGGAGCATATGTGGTTTAAACACATGAATAAGGAGATCGATGTACGTTAGAAAACGTTTTGGAGTTAAGACTGACGTGGTATTTGAAGGTATCAATCAAAACACTCTAGTTTTAGTAATATTTTGTATTGAATGAAGACTAGTGGCTAGTGCAAAATCTCCCATATCTGCATCTAGGTTAAGTTTTGGAGATTATTAAACTTGGACGAGGATAAATACACGATTATGCATCTCAACTATAATTTACTCGAAATATTGAAAAAAATAGAGCTTGAGTTTTTGCAGTTTAATTTGTTAGAGATTGTTAGAGAATCATGCTTGAGGAAACAAGTGCGTATCTGCGTATATGTCGTTTATTAAACGTGAGTATTGATGTGGAAGTTGTATGTCTCTACGTTACCTTCTTGGTTTTTCAGCCTTCTTTACTAATTGTATGGCCTCATTGCATGCACCTTCATATAGCTTTGTATAGATGCAAAGATGTTTCAAGTGTGGTGGTACAATAGTTAAGTTTTTAAATGCATCGACACCATCGTCTCCGATTATGTTGCTTCAAAAAATTTATTATGTTATTAAAGTCTCTTCTAGGTTTAGTTATAGGCGTAGTATCAATTAACACCTTGTTTTATATTGATATGTCTTTTCCATGGTGAAATGATTAATATTTTGTGGGGGAAAATTAACAAAAACAACTCACCACGTTTAATATTTGATATCAAAAGAAAAACAATTTACCATATGTTTGTGATCTAAGCCTATAAGATAAAGGTTTGGCCAACTATACCTTTTATTAATTTAAAGCATATTCTATACATTTGACTATATCAGTTACAATTTATCTAAATTAATATCAGTTTTAGCGTGGTATTACTAAATAATCGTAGCCAAAATACGTACGTTTAAAACGCTAATTGTTTCTTACAGAAGAAAAAAAAACGCTAATTCTTTTTTTATTGGATCCTTTCTAGTTTCTTCCTTTCCCATGACTAATTGTAGTTCTAAAAAGTGATGTTAGGGTTGGTCAGATTTATCAGCCGACTTTGTTGACCGTTTCAGTGAATTTGTTTTGGAATGTTTTTGGTGGTGTAGCTTTGTATGTTTATTGTGTCCGTAGTTCAATTAGTTATTCTACAATAATTATTTTGGGGGTGTATGCAACCGTTTGAGAGAAGATTCGGCATTAACTGTACATAGAGATTACGATTACACTGAAAGTTCAATACCACGAGTCATAATATATGATCTTCAAATATTAAAAAAAACATTTAAACAAAAAAAAATAATCCTGCAGTAATAATAATTTTCGATCTGAGAGTCGCGCTGCTCGTGTAAGTGGGGTTTTTTTGAACTTTGAGGGACACAAATATTGACATTTGAAAGTATATAACGGAGATTAAGATAACAAATTTAGAAGGATAATATTCTCATAAGAGAAAAAAAAACATTTGCTTCAGCGATGGTATAGAAGATTACCTGCGAAATATTACTTTTGCAGTAACTTTTGATGTTTCCAGAGTTTCTCATTAAATCTTGCGATGCATTTCGATGATGATTTGTTACGGTATTTTTTAGATATTGATGACAGAACATTTTTTGGATATATATACTATTAGAGTTTTAGTATGTTATAAGCGATACAATTATTATGAAATATTATGTGATGTTCATTATAAGCTCATAAAGTCCATATTCTAGAAGGCTCTAGAGTTACTTGTAAGTTAGATTTTACTTTGTCACCAAGTAAGACCTTCTCTTTGTACTCTTATGTAAATGACCACTTATTCATTGAAATAATACAACACCAATTCTTTCTATCTCTTTTCTCTATTCACAACACGTTATCAGCACGAAATTCTAGCTGTCTGAGCTAAGAGGTATACAAATTTGCTTCTTAGATTTTATTCATTCCAACTATAAATCATGTTTATTATCAACTCATGGTTTGTAAAAATGGATTATTAATCAATATTATGATAGTCTCCTGCAGAGATTCAAATCATATGTTTATTTATTAATTTTTTTTTTTTACAAGATCAATAGTATAATAAATTCTCTTGAAGAGATTTACATAATCAATATTATGATGAATTCTCTTGTAGAGATTCAACTTATATGTTTATTATGATGAATTCTCTTATAGAGATTCAATTTATATATTTATTTTATTATATTTATAATTGATATTATGATAAATTCTCCTGCAGAGATTTAAATCATATAATTATTTTATTATTATTATTTTTATAAATAATAAATTCTCCAGTAGAGATTCAAGTCACATGTTTGTACTACTATATTTTTCCATGATATTTATAAATATGTCTTTATTCATATTTCTGCATATGATTTGCATATCAAATATTTTTTTTTTTCCGTTTCGGCACATAGTTTGCACGAAATATATTTAAATGAATATTGTTCATTAAAGTCAAATATTGCTTATATTATTTCTGCACATGATTTGCGTGAAATTTGTTAAACTGAATCTTATTCATGAAAATCGAATATTTCCCCATACTGCTTCTGCACAGATTCATTAAATCGAATATTTTCTATATTGTTTTTGCACATAATCGTTTTTACACGAACTTTGCACGGATGTGTTTTTATTATGTCATTATTTAGATCTAGATTTCTGTTTTAAAATCTGCACTAGTTTCTGTTTTCAATATTGTTAACCCGAAGTTTGCACATATATGATTATCCAAATTTTACACGAGTTTTGCACATATATCCCGATTTTTGCACATAATTATTGCATCATGCTTGTATATTCTCACGAGATTTGCACTGTTACATCAAAAATTGTTTATTCTCATTATCACAAAATTTGCACATATTTTATCATCTGATCTCTTTGATGATTGATTGATTGGGTTATTTTATGGCATGTTATATTTATTTATATTATATATATACATTATATTTTATATGATTGCATTTATGTGTCATCATATCTTTGATGATTTAAGATTAAATACTTGATCATAGAGCAATATAAAGAAAATGTTTGATCACCAGAATGTGATATGACCTAACTTGTTATCTAAAAACCATATGACTTGAAGTCTATAAATAGAGATAATACCACTAATTAGAATACATCACACAAATATTATTTTTTTGCAGACATCATACATAAAGATATTTGAGAAGTATTATTAAATTATTTCTTCTTTAAAGTTTTTTTAAAATTTAAATTGTCACTTGAAGTGATAATAGAGATGGTACATGCCATTGATTTTGTTAAATGATGCTTTTATTTATATATATGTGTAGTTATATAATATTTATATTTTACCATCATCTATAAAAATATCTTGTATTTTATTGTAAAAGATCCCCAAGTTCTTACATAAATCTAAAGAAAATTATGATCACTATAATGTG